TCCAACCCCCTTGCTACAGGCAGGGCCACCAAGCTCCAGATCTGGCACTAGAGGAGGTTGCCCAGGGCCCCATCCAACCTGGTCTTGAACACCTCCAGCATCCACTGGGCAGCCTGTGCCACCCCCTCACCACTCACTCGGTGAAGAACTTCCTGTTGACATCCAATCTAAACATGCCCCCCTTGTGCTTAACCTGTTCACAATGTAAATGAGAAGGCAAAAGTATAATATGATTAGACCAAGCCAGAACAAAATATAAAGCCTGATGAATCAAACACCCTTCACTAGAGGAAATCTCCAGTGCTTTTATAAGTGGAAGCCCCACAGTTTGCATACATCAAATTTCAAATCAAAGTATACTTGCCTGAGTGGGTGGATAAAAAAAATTTATCGTGTATGTAGATTACTCCAAAAGTAACGCCTCCTATTTATTTGGAAATTACAACAAATAGGAAGAGCTCAGTAACACTATTTGGTAAAGCAAATTCTCAACTACAAAACAGTATTTTCCCACGTAGTCAACACAATTAGATATGCATTTTTGCCAGCAATGAACAAGAACCTGTATGCTGTGTTCATAAAGATCTACATGGCTGTCCTGAATGTGGTTTGTCATTCATGTCACTGTCACCACTGTAGAAATGCAGCAATCACTGCCTCACTGTGTTTCTGCACCAAGGAATTCAGTTACACACTATCACATCATACGCACTTCTGTGCCAGGTGCCATTCTGTCAGCCTGCCCCTCTGTTGCCACTTGTCACACAGCAACAAAACGTAATGGAATACTGATGGAAAGTTTCAGTCTTTACTGTCAAACCACCAACATTTTTACCTGATGTTTTGGGCCAACATAACAAAACAGGAGGCATTACTTTCAGAGCAGCCAATGTATTTTGGGACAGTGTCTAATAATCACATAACAAGCAGGTTAACAGAAATCATTAGTATCTATTTATAATTTACACAGAAACTACATGTTTGTTGGACTATCACCAGTTTAATTTGTTTGTAATTTGTTAATTAATCGAGCAAGTACAGAGTTACAGTTACTTGAATCTTACACATGTTTTTGGTGCTGAAGTGTAATGCCCCAGGGAGAGGGTATTTATGGCAATTTGAGTGACACCAAAACCTTGCAAGTGAAGAAACACAAACTTTAAAACATATCTGTGACACCTTTGTTTTTTACAGCATAGTTAGCGTCCCATTCAGCACAGAAATCAGTTTTTCTATGCAGGTGAGGATTTAGTATCATCTTTATTACCCCTCTACTCAAGTTGTTTTATAGCAATGCATATCCTTATTGATCCATGAAGAAAATATTGAACAAGATGACCAACAGGTTGATGTTCAGACTGGATGACCTTAGTGGTCTTTTTCAACCTCTACAATCCTATGACTCTAAGACATTTTAGGGTTCAGAAAATAGTTTCACATTTTTTCCCCCCCCATCTTTCTCCACCATATATATCTTAATATTTGGTACTAAGTGATTCTGAAATCACTTGGCAATATGAACAATTATACTCTAAAGAAAAGCTTCTCCTACATGGTTGTATAAGAGAACACTGACAACATTAATATGATGGGATTTGGAACTTGATTTACATTTCAAATTTTAAATGGGGAATCCTCTCCCCAGCTGGATAAATAAATATTTGTAGAATAGAAAGTATGCAAATCTTTTTTTTCCCCTCAGAGGCATTTTGAAAATAAACTACTGCTGTTACCTTTATAAAACCCAATTTTTACCTTGACATTAATATCTGGCTGTGCATCCAGTTCACAATATTTCAGCCCCTGTTAATACTGACCATAGGGAGGTATATAATAGAAATTTGTTAGTATGCTCAAGATTATTTTCAGCTCAGCATGGAGTAGAATATCTCAGTACTCATTAAGCAAAACCCTGCTGGTTTTTAGTCTTAATTAGTAGATGATAAAGCATTCAAATCCTGAGGAGAAAGATGAAGTGAAATCACTAAATATTGTAACTGATTACTTTCCCATTCTTCACCAATCATTTTTTACATCGTTTCCTATTTAAAAAAGAAAAACATTACAAGTATGGTATGCTTAATGATCAAGCAGAGCTCACGTGTTACAGATTCACTGATTCTCTCCCAGAATTTCATGGAAACACCAGGTGCACACATCTCTGCAAGAGCCACATTGTGATACAGAGAGTTTATTTACTGATTTGAATAACTACTTCATAAAATTAACTGTAGAGGCAAAAAAGGCAATAAATCAGCAGTAAAACTGCATACTTCTAGTGTCAAATGATTGATCAGTGAGCCAAATAGGATCTAGCTACCAAGGAAATACTTGATGGGGTCAAAATAAGAACAGCAACAGTGCTAAATAAAGTGCAAGTCAGCTTTGATTCATATCCTCATATCCTAAATACACTCAGTTTGTAAATAGAACAAGGGAGGGAAGAAAGATCTGAAGTACTTTCTGTATCTGTGCACTCATGCCCATACACTGGCACAAACAAAAGGTCACTTTACCAGATGTCCTTACATGTGCAGCTGCTTGTGTCCTACCACTAAGAGCCTGAATGCATGCTAATAATAACCACACAATCTAATATTTCTAGTGAGGCATGGAGTGAAAGTGCTAAGTACAATAAAATAAAGACCAGAAGACAAGAAAAAAAAAAAGAGCCTATCCAGCCAAATTCAAGAATTGACACTCTATTCAATATTGGCTGCAGCAGGCAGTCAAACCGAAGTGCTCACTTATGATAAATAGGTGAAATGCTCCCAATAGACAGCTGCCAGCACCTTTTTTCCTATGGAATGCTTCATATTTCCCATTGTACAGGCAGCCCATCCTCCTGGGACAAGGCAAAAATGTTTTAAATTAAAGGAGAGGAGATTTAGATTAGATAAGAAAATTCTCCCTGAGATGGTGGCAGTGAGGCACTAGCACAGGCTGCTCTGAGTGATGGATAGCTGTATAATCAATGAAAGCACAGATGTTATAATTACAGAATATACCAGAGAGTTTAGCTGAGCAGGTGATTATACAAAAGAGAACAGATAGAGTGCTTACCCTCATCCTGGGCTCACTGCAAAACTCCAAAAAAGGGATCTCCAGAAGAGATCATCTCCACTGGCAGTCAGCTCTTAAATGGGTCTAGGAGAGGTGCAGCCAGGCTCCACCCCTTCCAGCAGCCCAGGTGAATTGCCTTCACCTGTGCTCCCAGGTCTGAGTCATTGCTTGTCTCAGGTGATCAGTCAGAGGTTCAGGCTGTAATTCAGCAGTTCCCCTACAATATCCCTTCCCTGGAGGTATTCAAAACCAGGTTAGATGGAGCCCTGGGCAACCTTATCTAAGGCCTAATTGGCAACCCTGCTTGTAGCTAGGGGGTTGGAACTGGATTGTCTTTGAGGTCCCTTCTTACCCAAGCCATTCTATGATTCTTCGACTCTGTGATGGGTGTGCAGTGAGACTGTCAAGGTGAGGGATTTCCTGAAACGCTGGAGAAAACGGATGATATTGTTGAGAGCTTCCTCAGGTATCCAAGATGGAGAAGCTGTTTTGCTCTAGCAGTGTTCCCAGTTTACCCCACTAGACTCTTGATAAAAGCAAAAAAGATTGGTGTTTCCGCTCCAGAAAGTCTAGTGGGATGTGCTGGCTATCTTCACAAACTCACTTGTATCATGTGAAATGTACATGTAAAATCCCATGCAATCTTTCCCTCTCTTCCCCATCTTGGCATTCTTAATGCCCTGCAGCAAGTCTCACTGTTCAACTGTCAGATGTAGAAGGGGAGTGGCATTCTTCCTTTTGTTGTATCAGCTGCATCAATCAGCTTGGTATCATCCACAAACTTGCTGAAGGTGCACTAGATCCCACCATGTCATTGACAAAGATGTTGAAGGGCACTGGTCCCAGGATGGACCTCTGGGGAGCATTACTCACCACGGGCCTCCACCCAGACATAGAGATGATGAGAATCATTTTGATTATTTGTTGGCACTGACTTACTTTCAAATCTAAAGTTTCATGCTTTTCTACAAATATCTCTGGTAATATATTTCCTCACTTTATTATGGAAGGTGTCAGTGGGCATAGCAGAAATTGTTTGTTAAGATACTATGAGCTACCAGGTAAGGCAAACAGCTGTGAATCTTTGCTAAATCCAAAGATGTTAACATGAAAATACAAATATTATACACAAAAAGCAGGTAAATTCGTATGAGTAAAAATGTTACTGTACCTGAATACTTGTATTGAATAGCAACAGCTCAATGAGACTGTGGGCAAACTTCTGGACCTCCTAATGGGATGGGTGCGGATGGGTTGGGTGACGTAAGGAAAAACACAATGCAAATTATGAATTTCTTGATGTGCAATGGAGTTCATGTTGGACCTTTGCTTTGGAGAGATACATAGGATAGATCTCATTTAAGAAGTCCTGTGCTTGCCCACCACCATGCTGTAATCACCTTCTCTTGACTACTCATCCTCTCCAAGATCTCTGGAGGTCTGTGTAAGGCAGGTCCTCAAAGCAGTGGGATGAACAGGGGAGCTCTTCCCACAAACAGCCAGGCTGTGATAATTGTCTTAGCCGATTTACACCCCTGCAGAAAAATTGGCATGTAATCTCTTGGGTTACTTTCCAAGTATAACCACAAAATCCAAATACTATTTTGTAAAAGCCTGCAACTTTACAATTCTCTCTCCTATGAACTACTGTGGTCTGGATGCACAATTATTGGTTGGTCACAAGCCCTGTTATAATTCTAGCATATTTTTTAGTTAGCAGGAAGATGCAATCACCATAGCTACCTTGAATGCTTCAGTACCACTCTGCACTTAGCTTGCCATCAGGGAAATCTTATTTATTCATTTGAAATGTGTTCAGTTGGATTACATTCCCAGCAAAACCTGAGGGTTTTATGCAACAAAAATGATTATAAGGTATTAACCTGGGAAAACATTCTGGCTGCTATCTTCTGTTTTCACTTTGTTGGTCCTGCCAGGTCACGCTCTCAAAATTTGTGAGCTATTTCACCAGACTTCCTTTCTCTCCTGCCAATGCACAGTCATCTGCCATCTGGGTGGGGAAAGAAGGTGACTTATTGAAGGCGCTGAGAAACACATGGAAATTAATGGATTCAGTGAACCCTGACCCTGCCTCAGAAGGTAATTTGTCATTTTATTCAACTGAGCATCAACGAGGTCTTGACTCTGTGATGGCTTTTATCACTTCGTCCCAGCCAGTTCTGCCAAGTCCTCCTGGAAAGAGATAGTGCTGTTTCCTGCCACTTGGATTCCTGGCACCTTTGGTACACCAATATCAGACTCTTGTAATATAGCATTTTAGGTAACAAGTTTGATCCTGCAGTCATTATGCAGAAATGTAAATCAAACAGGAATATCCATCTGTGGAAGTTATAATCACTGTTTTAAGCTTGGCAGATATTCAGTAAACCATGGGGCCAGCTGCACAGCTGGTGTGAGTCCATCTATGTTAGCATCAATGAGGTCAGTGTTCTTGAACTATTGACTGTATTACTATCACTGCCAGTGTAATGGAAAAGAGACAGAGCGAAAAAGACAAATATCTGCATAAAGTCTTTCTAATAAAAGTCAGATTTTCAAAAGTCATGGAAATAAAGACAGGCAAAATTTCATCCTGAAGTTTGGGCTTATCAGTCAGCATATGGGAACCATTTTTTTCTGAAAATATAGGTATCAGAAGATAATTCATGCTGTCCTAAAAGCAGTGTATAAGCCAGATGGAATGATGGTCCCTCCAGATGTGCTTATCTGCCTCCCTTGGCTAGCTCTATAATTATAGAAGGTCAAAGGCAGATGAAATGTTTTCTGTGCTATGATTGAACATGCATGCAGTACCTTAATAGCAAAAACAGACTGCCCTTCTAGACAACAGAGAAGACATTTTGTCTTACCACAGTCCTACACACATACCTGTCAATGTAGAGGTATCATATGGGAGAATGACCTCAAGGCTATTGTTGTGGTTTAACACACACTACACAGGGTTTCATACACTCCCCCTTCCTTACCAGTGGGAATGGGAGAGAGAATCAGGAAAAACTCAAAGTGGAACTCATGGGTTGAGATTAAAAAATTTACTAACACAGAGAAAAAGAAAAGGATGATAGTTATGACTATTTATATATAAATATATATGTGTGTGAATGTATATAACAAGTGATGCACAAACATCACTGCCCCCTGATTGATGCCCATCTAGATCCCTGAGCAGTGGAAAAGAGTGAAAAGAACTCCCATCCCCTTCAAAACTCCTTCCACATGATGTCATGTGCCATGGAATATCCCACTGGCTTGTTTAAGTCAGCTGTTCTAATCCTGTTCCCTTCCAGCAACTTGGGCCCTTCACTGAGAATGGCATTGCTCTGTACAACATTGCTTATCAGCAACTATAAACATTCGTTTGTTATCAACATTGTTTCTCTCCTAGAACTAAAACACAGCACTCTACCAGACACTCTGAAGAAAGCAATTCCATCCCAGCTGAAACTAAGACAGTTACAACCCTCTCTAAGTAGAACCACGTTGCTGAACCGGGAGCTTCAACCAAACAGGGCAGGACTGACCACACACCTTTGCTTGCACAGACCTGCTGAGGTGCAAAGGATTAACACTGAGTGCCTGTACATCTCTACATAGCACGTGCAGCTGGGCCAAGTGCAGAAAGAAGTCACAAGAGATGTTCAGTGCCTTCCTTCAGAGCCCCAGGCATGGATGGATATCTTGACCGAGAGGAAGTTTGGGGAGGAAAGGGGCCTTCTTAGGCACATCTGTCAAAGGGAATCACAATTCAATCTCATTTTCTACTCCGTGGAAGAACAGATGTAAATTAAAAGCGAAGAACAGCAATAGCCAATTACCAGAAAACAAGTAGTTATCAACCAGCTGGTTCCATAATGATACGGGATGCCCTCCCTTCACCTTTCAGAGTGGAGGGGATTCGTTTCACCCTCCATCAGCATAGCTCCCAAAACTGCCCCAAGTCTGAGGTAAGAAGAGATCAGCTTATGTCAATAAGGGTTGTTTGTAGCTGAAGTTTCATTCCCTGCTGTTTCTGCAAGATAGACCTCACTTCTAACCTTCCCAGATTCAAGGACAAGGCACCAAAAAGAGTACAGGCATTCATGTCTGCCTCATTCATGTGTGAGGCTCCAACAGCTTCCAGCTACTTCAGTCACACCATCACATCCCAGCCAGATGAATCTAGGCACTCTGCAGGACTTGTCTGTGGGATTACTCTGTGACAGCACAAAGGTCTGGATGACATGAAAGTTGAGAGGATGTGTCAGCACCATCCTGGAATCACCCCCAAAAAAATCTATGGTTGTTGAAGTACCCTTTCATGAGTCCTTAATATAACCAAAATCTGGTTCTATCTTACTCTAATCACTGATGCACTTGATGCTCCTGACAGTTCCTATTATTGTGAATTTTAAAGCTAATTATAGTTTCAAATAAATCCTATTTGTGCTTATGGGAGTTAATCATCTGGATGTCCCTGGCTGAGGGGTTTAGCCTACACAAGGTTGTGAACAGCATTTGGTGGTCTCAACCCCAGTTCCTGAGCTGAACTGTCTTGCCAAGAAACAATTGGTTGACACTCGCCTCGGAGGTAATTGCCTTCCACTGCCTACTAAGACAAAAAACCCAATGAAAACCCAATGAAAATATTTACCACCTCATTACACTGCTTTGTGTAATCCAGCTGCTTTGTTCTGCACATTAGCTGATATGAAGAAATGCCTACTTTGTGGTGTAGCCTGGATAAATGGTGTAATATCCATAGGATTTCAGTAATGATGTAGATAAACACTGAACAACCTCAGATCACACAGTTACCAAGGGACTTTTGACCAAACACCACAGCCAGTGCCAGACATCTGACAAGGTTCATAACAGATGTAACTGCCCCCAGAATGTGTTAGCCATGTGGGCTGTCAGGAAGATGAACTCCCCAAACCACTGTTTCTGTGATCAACAGAAGAATCCAATTGCTTTCCTATCTTGGAGATTAAAAATTAATTTCTTTTTTGAGGCTTTGCCTAGTTTCTAGATCAGGAAACTAGAAGTAAAAAAGCCTGATGTTAGCAGAAAATGTTTTAACATGATGTTATACTGCATTTGTTAAAAATATTTACTTAAATAATTACATACCGGTTTGAACCACAAATCTAGTCTTCTTATGTTAAAAATATTGCTATGTTTTTTCAAAAATTGAAACACCTAGCAAGGCCAACATTCTCCTTGGAACAGCCTCAGTTTTGATAGATGTGATTATCTGACTGATGTATTCATTCAATAGATAAAAAATCTAAATGTATAAGTTTTCTCTAAATCAGTAATGATCTTCACTGAAGAATCACTCTCTGATCATTCATACATAGGAACAGAGCACCTAAAGAACCTATTTGGGTGGCACTGCAGAAGTCTGTTTTCCCCTATTTGCAAGATGTGCTTGGATATAAACAAACACAACAGGCATTTTTCTCTATAATGTCGTAAAATCATCAAATCATTCAGGTTGGAAAAAACCTCTAAGATCATCTAGTCCAAGCATCCACCTACCACCAATACTGCCCACTAAACCAAGTCGCTGTCACTTCTCCACGCTTCTTCAACACCTCCAGGGGCAGTGGTGACTCCACCACCACCCTGAGCAGCCTGTCCTATGTTGTATATCGTAATCAATTGCAGTTTGTTCAAAAAATTAAATGTATTTCTGGAAACAAACAAACAAACAAACAAAACAGCACCCAGTGCTTACATTCTTATCCAATTCATGTTTATATTACATTGGCTAATTTCTCTCTACTCGAGGATTTTGGGGACGTGAGCTGGTTAGTTTAATAAGTGCATATACATCATGTATATGTATATAGAACCTTACCAGCATGCAGCATGCTGGCTCTTAGTTTTGGTCAGGGTTTATTAGCAAAATTATTGCATAATAAAATGCCAATCTGATTTTTTTAAATTTATTTTTGTCTAAGAATAAAATGATTGCTATTCATGTAGTCAGGGTGCTAACTTTCACTCTGGCTTAGGAGGCATTCTGAAGGAAGGTGTGTTTCTTTTCAGATCTGGGTTAAGTTTCAAATATATTTCTAGACTCCAAGGAAGTACATAACACTGCAGATGATATATTGTTATTTCATGGCTATAGCAGAAAAGTTCTTTGGCCTCTTAAGTTGCATAATTCTATTAAGGCAGAGCTTCATTTGCATTTAAACCACTTTTTCTATGCTTTAGTTATTTATTGGAAACTTATGGCAACTGAAGTATCAGCTTTATTCTGCTCCCACTGAATTCCCTGTCAGATTCCTGAGGCCAATACTGCAAATGGAGTTCAGAGAGTTTGGCTCCAAGTACCATAGATTTTTTTCCAGGAAAATTTTTCTAGACAGATATTTGCCAAAAAATAACAAAATAGTTCAGCAGGCAAGCAAAAATGAATGTACTCCCCTTGTAACTGAATAATGGCCTCGAGGGTAAAGCAAGGGAAATTGAGGTAGTACTTGAAATCTGAACCTTCTGTATGATATGAGGTAAATTAGCTCAGCTCAGTTTTCTCCTTCTTTCAGACTGGGAAATAATTGCTGACCTTCTCAGATGAGCTGTGAAGATGAATTACTTGAGATTTTTATTCAGTCCTAAAAAGCCCTGAATGTTCTTAATGTGTATTCCCATTGAACCATCAAGCACCATAAGTCTCTTTTATGTCCAAGTCCAGGTGAAGGCTGGTAACCAGTGGTGTCCCCCAGGGATCTGTCATGGATCCAGTACTCTTCAACATCTTTAGCAATGAAATAGATCATGGGATTGAGTGCATCCTCAGCAAGTTTGCTGATGACACCAAGCTGAGCAGTCAGGTTAATAGAGCTGAAGGAAGGGATGCCATCCAGAGGGACCTTGATAAACAGTAAAGGTGGGCCTTTGTGAACCTAATGAGGTTCTACTAAGTTTCGCACTTTTGTCAAGGCAATCTCAAATATGTATAAAAACTGGGAGAAGAACTCCTTGAGAGTAGCCTTGCTGAGATGGACTTAGGAGTCCTAGCTGATGAAAAACTTAAAATGAGCCAGCAGTGTGCATTTGCAGCCCGGAAGGCCAATGGTATCCTGGGTTCCAGGAGAAGAGAGGTGGCCAGTCAGGAGAGGGAGGTGATTGTCCCCCTCTACTCTGCCCTCATGAGGCCCCAGTTGGAGTACTGCATCCAAATCTGGGGCCCTCAGCACAGGAAAGATGTAGAGCTTTGGAGAGGGTCCAGAGAAGAGCCACAAGAATGATCCCAGGACTGGATCACCTCTCCCATGAAGACAGGACGAAGGAACTGGAAAAGAGAAAGATGCAGAGAAACCTCATCGTGGCCTTCCAATATTTAAAGACGGTTTATATACAGGAGGGAAATCAACTTTTTACACAGGTAGATAGTGATAGGACAAGGGGGGATGGTTTTAAAATAAAGGGAGGAAGATTTAGATTAGATGTCATGGGAAGGTTTTTTACTGAGAGACTGGTGAGGTGCTGGAACAGGTTGCCCAGAGAGGTTGTGTATGCTGTCCCTGGAGGTGTTTAAGAACAGGTTGGACGGGGCCATTTCTGCATGAAAGACAGCCCAAGCCTGGGTTCTGGGTATTTTTTAATTCAGGTAGTCATCAGAGTAAGTCATCAAACATCCTTCACCAAATGATTTATATCAAGACTGTAAGAGGTATTTAGACTTTGCTGAAGCCAATATTGAACATAGGACCATGAGGTCACCATGCTTATTGCAAGCTTCAATGCTGAGACATCAAGGAACCTCAATTTTTCACTTTGTCAAATGAGACAAATGCAATCTATCTACTGTGAAAAAAAAAAAAGAAAAAAAAAGAAAAAAAAAAGAAAGAGAGACAATGCATGCAAATATGTCTGAGAGCTTGAAGGAGATATAAAATACAATCCTTTGGTTATGCAAAACTACAGAAATGCCATGAACCACTTACCTAGCACTTTTTACGTCCTTTATATTCAGATTTACATTTTGTAATTTAGGTTGTCCAACAGTTTGTTTTGTATGTAGAAACTGTAAACTATCCTGTGGTATAGGAAAAAAGTAACATCTGAACAGCTGCCTTTCAATGGACTGCATTTGGGACCACCCCAGAGAGTGGGAATGGACACTTTCTCATCTGAGGACACTTCCCGGGGCTACTTGAGGCAACACCCATGAGAATTCAGGCCACAGACAGACACTCAAGAAGTACAAAGGTTCTGCATGAGCCTTTTCCATAGGTAGCCTTATGAAAGATCCAACCTCTAAGATCATTATAGCAGCTGGAAGCTTCCATAGTGATCATAGGTCCACGCCTTGTGGATTTTGATATTTTCAGATGCCAAATCTGGACTGTGGAGGTGGAACCTTTCTTTAACAGCCGGAAGAACCCCAACTCTAAATGCAAAGACATCACTGGACAGACTAGGACAAACTGGAGCAACTCTCCCAAGCTGCCCTACATGAAACTGGTTTTACTTCTTTGAATTCAGAACTGCAAACTTCATAGTGATTAGCAAGTTAATACTCAAGTTATACCACTTAATTAAAAAAAAATAATAATCACTTTATTTATTCCAACACTGACAAGAATTAGAGACCACTCTGCATGTTCTTTGGCCCATGGAAATGCCATATGTGTTACAAAAACACATCCTGACTTGACTGAGGAGGAGATCATTAGTCAGTCTGTCCACCTGGGTCAAGGTTAGATTGTTTAATGAAGTAAAAGACTATTTTTGTATAAGACCCTCCATACTAGAGCTTGCAGTGTGCGTAAGGTAATTTATAGACTTCATGCAAAGTGATGGTTAGCTTCATTCCAGATATTTAACAGGAGGCAAATCAGTGGAAATGAGGAAACCAATTGCCTGTGTTGCTGTCAGTAAATTGGTTGATCTCCTTGGCATTATGTTAATGAGATTGTCTAGTGAACGATGTTATTCTTTAATTGTCTGCTAAACAGGCAATGATTATGATTTTGTTTTTTAACTTCAGCTGGTTGTTTCAAATGAAATGCTCCATTTCTTTGCTTTAAAACATCATGCTGTTTTGCATTAATTCTACATCCAGTTGGGGAACGTTGTTGAGTACTCAGGATGGCAGGAGCCAAAACAAAACTGGGAACTGTGGTTTTGCATGAAGTCTGGGGCTTGTTTACACACATGGAATGTGCATGGGATAAATCCTACTTCAATTCTTACCGAGGCACCACATTATCTGTCAAAGCACTAGATCTGGCTATGGCAGCACATGATTACCAACCAGCCCACTGTTTGAACTGGTCCCATAACAGTATGAAACTCAATTGCAGTTGATATAAAATTTCACTGTAATTTCCTATAAGACTGACAGGAAATGCTCCAGTGCTGCAGTGGAGTTTTGCCATCCAGGCAGCAGCTGCAGACAAACCAAGTGATAATTCTGGCTGATCATTGCGCAGATACAAATTTCTTACTCAGAAAACTCCCCCTAAATGCATCAGAAAGTCCTTTCTT